CACTACTTTACATTGTAGCAAAGTGTCATTTCTTCAGTGTTGTCACATGAAAAGATATAATAAAATATTTACAAAAATGTGAGGGGTGTGCTCACTTCTGTGAGATACTGTATATATATATATATATATATATATATGATAAGCAAAATTAGCAAAATACAACAAACAAAGAACGTTTGAAATCTGGGGTGTGCAAAGTAAGCAAACTGAACTAAATATACAACCAGCCTAATTAGACTGAACAAAAGAGACACACACACACACGCGCACACTAAAAAGTAGACAACACCGATATATCATGCAATCCGAACACATACTCAGTATAGGCTAATTAATTCATACACATATACACTACTTTTTAAAGGTTTGGGATAAGCAAATATTTTTTATGTTTTTGAAAGAAGTCTCTTATACTCACCAAGACTGCATTTATTTGATAAAAAATACAGTAAAAACAGTAATATTGTGAAATATTCTTACAATTTAAAATAACTTAAAATAATTACTATTTATTATATTACTCATTATTTTTAATGAATGGTAAATATAAAAATGAAGAGTAAAGGAATATTCCACAATACTCTGTTAGAATTAGAATTGGGCTAAGAAACCAGTTATGCCAGAAAAATAAACGAGTCACGAGGCAAGCAGCCGTTTATATACTGTAATGCTAAAGGCAATGGCATAAGGCATGCCATAACACTTAAACACAACCACACCTACTCACATGGACTACTGGTGCATGTACAAAATCACATTCCATAATGACTGTTTGCATGAAATAGATGATCATCTAAGACTAAATTAATAAGACAATAAACAGAATACACTAACAATACATGTAACGCATGTTTCCAAATATATAATAATAGTTATTTTTTGTATGAATTCCTCTGATTTGGAGTTGATTTTTTTTTTTTTGGCAATACACTATACATTCTTTGTTTTAAACCCTGTAAAAAATAAATAAAAATGTAAATAATAAATCTGCACACAACCAAACATGACTCAAAACATATGCATGTTTCCTCTCAGCTGCAAATGTTTACAGTAATATCTGCTGTAAACACTAGAGGGAACAGTGAACCTAACGCACTAGGACAACAGATTAAACAGAAAATTTCACATAATATTTAAAAGAATAACTTGGTTGTTTTAATCATGTGCAATAAGTATACACTAGCCTGCTGCAGTGCGAAAATGTGTTTTGTTTTTTTCCACCAATCAGCTGCTTACATTGTGTCTGAAACCTGAAGCTGAAGGCTCGCAGTATATGGGGAAAAATTTGCTAATTTAATATTTGCATTTGTTTTGTCACTGACTGAGCAGCATCCTACTCTTACTATTGATTCAGTATGTGTACAATTCGCTCAACTTGACCTTCCATTTCCAATGTTATGGATGAACCACAAATAAAATCAGCCATGATTCTATAACATTATTATTTGATCATACTGCCAAATGTTAAGGCAATTTTATACAAAATATAATTAAATCTGCAAAATAGCTGTTATTACCAAAATTAAAAGTGGATGTGCTTCGCTGAATGAAACAAACGTGTAATCGTGTGAAGACTATAGAAATACTATTGGTCAATTTGTGAAATAATGCCTACCATTAAAAAAAAAGAGAGCAGGCAATACGCAGTGTATACTGAACTGTTTTTCATTCGCAACAACAACAACAGACTCACAGAACATTTGTGGCTGTCTGGCTAATGTGTGTTAAGTTGGTGTATGAGAGATCAGAGACTTGAGGCTTAATAATAGCAGTGACATCACTGGAGGAAATGAGCTCATCTGTGTGAGATGACATGAGAAGATGAGCTATTGAGAACTGAGGGGCTTTAAACTCTCTCTCACTTTCTCTCTCTCTGTCTCACACACACACACACACACACGAGCACACCTGAGAGGTGATAGCAAACAGAGACCATACCTTAATCAAGCACAACTCTAATGTGTGTTAAGTTGGTGTATGAGAGATCAGAGACTTGAGGCTTAATAATAGCAGTGACATCACTGGAGGAAATGAGCTCATCTGTGTGAGATGACATGAGAAGATGAGCTATTGAGAACTGAGGGGCTTTAAACTCTCTCTCACTTTCTCTCTCTCTGTCTCACACACACACACACACACGAGCACACCTGAGAGGTGACAGCAAACAGAGACCATACCTTAATCAAGCACAACTTCACTGATATGAGGTTTCTGGCTTAACATTTATCTGCAATGCTGGGACCCACTGTTATTTGTTATTTTGTAATTTGCAATTCACTTTTTGAGTTAATCCATCAACATTTTCCAGCCTAAATCCATGATTTAATAAATAAATACATAATATTATATCACAATCTGCCACCTGTCCTGTTCAGACAGACAGGAAGGAATACACTAGTTGTCAGAGCTAGTGATCATGCCAGTACTGAGTATTTACAAATGCATGCATTGCTTGACAGTGTACCAGGGCAAAACAAATCAATGCAGCAACCTCTGATGTTTGAACAAACACAAGGAAACATGTTTGTACGAACAAACTGTTTCAATGCATAACATAAATTAACAGTTACTAATAAACTCCTTTTATCAGGATGTTGTATTTGAAAGAATTTTTCTAAAATCCAAATAAGCTTCACAGGTCTTTATTGGAAAGGATTTAAACAATGTTTTTCCATGCTTGTTCAATGAAGCAAAAACAATTATTGCACATGCACCTGTGGAACAGGCCTTTAAACACTAACAGTTTACAGTTGGTGGGCAATTAAAGGCACTGTTACAATAACTTTGGAAAGTAAAGAGACCTTTCTACTCTCTTTCAACTGGCAGTTAAATTTGTCCTGTGGAGAATAGACTTGTGCCGGTATTCGGTAATGCGATATATCACGGTAATGTTAATGCATTAACTAAGGTTAACTAATGAGGTCTTATTGTAAAGGGATACCTATTGGTCTTTATAGTTCTTTTGCACTTTAATCTGTGTAAAACTTTTAGCTTTATACATTTTTCTGTATTGCTTTATTGCATTTAAATGTTCAGTTATTTTTGTTATAAGAAAAAAGTTATTAAACCTGTTATACTGTATTATGACAGCACTTTTTTAAAACTAAATCTCAATACCGTGATAATACCGTATACCGTGATAAAAGCATTAGCAATTAATCGCAACATGAAAATTTGATACCGGCATATCCCTAGTGGAGAACTATAAACCAATTTGGAGTAGACGTCACAGTTATGTCACTTGCAGCTGCACGCGCATTGTGGTGGCAGAAAATCACTGGTAACAAGCGGAGGGAAATGGGTAAAATCCATAGAATAAGAGAAAAAAAAATGTATTGTTGTGCCTTTAGATGACAGAATGGGAATGCAAATAATTTATATAGAATACTGTCATCAAAGACGCCATTTGAAGCTAAACACAGATGATTAAACGGACAGACTATGGATGAAAGCTGCTATGATTACCGTTTTAAAGCATAAATTTGATTTAAACAATAGGTCTACATAATATTCACATATGCAGTTCATAGGGGACATAGTGTATTAGCGCTACAGTTACAGCATGAAACAGCCTACTATTTAAACCTACAACATTTTACATAACATTTTTACCCATTTTCTCTCACAATTCTGACTTTTTTTTCACGCAAATGCAAGTTTATATCTCCTAGTTTGGACTTTATAACTCGATTTAACTCAACAATTGCAGAGAATTCTGGGGGGGGGGGAGCCAGAAGGGTGGGATATAAACTCATGATTCTGAGCCGAGGGGGAAAAGAGAAAAAAAAAAAATGACGTTATCAGAATTGTGAGATATAATCTCAGAATTGAGAGAAAAAAAACGTCAGAATTTTAAATTATCAACTCAAAAATTACCTTTTTTATTATTTTATTCCATGACTTCCATAGACTGCTACTTTAAATCTGTCATTTTCAGCCACCAGATAGGCTCCGCCCACAAAAACGTCATCACTGTTTGCAAAGACAGAAATTGGTATATTCAGTTTTGCCTACTGTATGTACAGAACTCAAAATCTGTCAATTATGAGGTTCAAGCTTTGTTAGGATGCTACTTATGCAGTCCAGTCACTGTCGGAGTTGCTCCTATCAGTTTTGTGGTCTGCAAGCAACTCAAATCCTGCGTTGTCCAGTCAGGTATAAAAGCTGTTGTCGGTTTATGAAGATTTGATGGATGAACTCAGGATTCGATTGGACTTGATTATTGTGTCAAATGTGATAAAGCTTCCTAGTTTTATGGACGTTGCCATCTTTGATATTACTTCAGTCAGTGTTGGTTACAGGTGATCGTCACAATTAAAATACGGGCTCGACTCCTGTTACTCGTTCATAAAGACAGTATGTGAGACACTATTGTGTGCTGCTGTGTGAACAGGACATTTCAAGATTTACACCTGTAAGAAAATGCAGTTGTCAATCCCAAACATTGGCACTGTGAACGTAGCCAGTGATAAGAAAAAAAAAATCTCTAATGTATAGGCAGGAAGAAGCAAAAACCAAGACCCAGCTGGGGGAGCCCATCCTGCCCACAATGACACATATGAAAACAAATAGATACAAACAAACAAGACGTTAATTAGAAGAACAAATGTAATCCAGCCACACAGAACATTTATTATGTTGAAAAACTACTGTTATTTTCACTCTTTTGAATGTCAGCTTGCCCTCAGTTTAAAATATTGCCTAATCCTATGTACTGTTTTATGGCATTTTATTGTCCCTAAGCAATACAATGTTCAGAGATATTAGGTCAAATATAGAGTTTAGAAGTTTATCAACCCACTTGTCAACATCCAATAACAACAGATTCAAGGTTCCTCCCTCATGCCTACAAGTAAAGCAGCTAGCTCTGGACAACTGGGTCGATGTAAGGAGCTGATAATGGCAGTAGTTACATAAGTTACATGTTCCCTTCAAACATAGTGATAATGAGCAGCGTGTGACATACTGCAGAAAACCTCGAGCCTATGCAACGCCACGCCACTGCATGTGTGTTTATAGTAGGGCTGTCGCGATAACCGCAATATCGCAATACCGCGTGTTTCATTACTTCTCTTTGAATGAATGAATCAGCGTTTTTGAACGTGTAGTTGAAAGACAGTCCCTTTCCACCCCCTTGTGGCGCAACACTGTAACTGCACTGACTGACAGTCCATCTAGAACGCGAGCAGGTGGAGATATCAATAGAAAGTCTCTTGTCCAGTCAGATTAGAAAATCAGATTACAACTAGGCAAACTGTTATACATATAGCCTAACGATCTTATTGTCAGGTTTATGTTCTGTTATGTGGACCATTATTTTGTCATTCTCTTCTGTTTACTTCACTTCCTGTTTCAACGCTATTTGGTTTCGGTTTCATTGTCTTCTGAATAAGACCTCGTTAGTTATATCGTAACACATACACACACAAATTATATATATGGCGATAATACCGCATACCGTGCTATTGAGCCACTCAAAATTACCGCAAGGGAAATTCCCTCACCGCGATAGCCCTAGTTTATAGAGACACCACTGTCAGAAATATCAAAACAATACTAAACACAGTTAGCCTTTCCTTCTAGACAAGCATTCTGATACTGAGGCACTGGTTGATAAACAGAAATAGAAAACAAATCCATAAAAAAAATTAAAAAAAATCTCGATTAGCGAAGAGCACTTTCAGCATAATAAACAAGTTTAACATGAATGCACCAAAACGCTACGAAGTTCCACGACAACACCACAAACTGACTATCCATTACACCGTTTCCTGCACGCGCTTTATTAACACTCTCTTAAGCCAATTATGTAGGGGAGAGTGGGGTAAGATGAGCCAGTGGGTAAGCTGACCCACCCCCTGTATCTTGCCAACTGTACACTTTTATTGTCATGTGACCATATATTTTGAAACCACCCATAATTTCTGCCAGACTGTGAAAAGAAGAAACACACGGGAGGAGTGGAAGACACCCAATTACTTTAAAAACTGTTCTTGGCTTGTCAAAGTAACATTTTAGCATTCCATATGTAATGGCTGTTACATCAAAGTAAATTTATCCAGGTCTAAAAATATTTATGATGCATATAAGTGATTTAGCAATGTATAAAACCATGCAAATCATTTAGCTAAATATTAGCCTGAATTAGTAAGCAAGCTAGTTTTTTTCTAAAATGGCAGCTATGGGGCAAAGCGAGCCAAATGCTGTGGGGTAAATTGAGCCAGCATTTTATCTTACCCTACCATAAGGCACTGAAGTTAAGTTAAATCTCTGAAGTATAAACTGGACTGGTAGTTTAATGTGATAGTACACAACTGATTTAGTTTATCATATATACATATTATTTGTAGTTTATTTGATAGGGACAGTGTACAAGTGCACCAAATCCATATCTGATAAGAACCAGAAGATGCTTTTCATCACATTATAATCAAATATATCTTTCCACCTGTAGGCCCTAACGGCCTGTTCGACATTGCAGAAAAGCTACCATGCCAAGAATCTTTTGACTAAATTGTTCATTAGTTTCAGTGACATTTATTCCTTCATTCTAATTCAGTTTTTTTTTTTTTTTACTCAAACTCTCGGTTTAGTCTGTTTTTGGGAAGATTACAACTTTGGTGTTAAACATATTGTTTCAGAAATGCAAACAATTAAAGATTGAAATTTTCATTTGGTTGGTTTTATGTTGTTTACATCAGCTTTAAGAAAATAAATAAGACTGTTTGAAAAAGTAAAGTTATTAAATTAGTTTTTAAAAGAGGTAAATTATCTTTCACATGGGTTTGAACCAGATTCAGTCAGATGGTCAGTTTACAACCAGATGGTTCATCTTACTCATTGACTCGGGTCAACTTACCCCCACCCTGGGGCAAACTGAGCCACAGGAACACTTTTTAATAAGAAGCCATATTTTTAGAACCCTTTGTCATAGATATATTCTGATCATTTAAAATGATAAGAAACATCCTGAAGTTACTTTAGATACTTTGATTGCACTTCTGCGTCATTTCCCCTTATCTTGAGGACCACATAAGTAAAAAGTGGCTCATCTTACCCCACTCTCCCCTAATCCACTTCTGCAGTATTAACTACCCCGAGAAAAGCGGGATAATTTAGAGGACAAGCAAATAGCTCTCAGCAACAAGAATATACCTCCATGGCAGGACAAAGCACGTTGACAAAAAAGATCGTGTTGTTGAGAATGCTATGACAGCCCAAGTAGGCCACAACCACCCCCTGACATGACATTAGAGTTAACGTTATCTGTTTATTTAGAGGAACTTCATACACAAATGCGAGTCGCAAAATAACGCAATGTTAAACGAGTAGGAGTAAAGCCATTTAAATTCACGTACAACCAAACAAGAACCAGTTTGCACGGCCATATTTGCAGTCGGAACCGCTTTTTAGACATTAAGACAGCGTCCAGTCAATGACAGACACCGTGAAGTCTGGTCGAGTGCAAGCAAACACACACACACACACACACACACACACACACTCTCACACTCACTCACACTCTCACACT